GGGGGGGGGTGTTGATAATAATAGTTTGAAGATTGTTTACCTATTATGTAGTAATATACACTATGACTGAGCTGTATTTGGAAAAAGTTCTGATTCGGTGTTGGTCATATCAACTCTGTCCACCTTTAGGAACTATCTCCCTTACAGAGCCAGAAATAGTGTATTCGAAATGTATATAATTGATTATATGTAGGTATATGTACTGGTATATAACTTATACTAATAAAAATCTGACACCACATAAAAATGGAATGGAAATAGGATTTAAGTCAAATGTATATTTGAATTAAGAAGTAATAGAGTATATCACTGAAGTCTCACCATTATTACCCTTTCACAAAATCACATATTTGTTCTGATCTAAAATTTGATGTCAAATGTTGTTTGACCAGAAATTTGAATCTATGTAAGTTCTTGGTTGCCTTAATATTTTCTGGTAATGCATTCCAGTCCTTTATTGCATTATAAGAGAAAGATGTGGACTCTACCCCACTTATATTATGTATATAAAAGTTATTTTGGCTTGATCTTGTACACCTTTTGTTGTTCCTTTCAAAACCTTCCTTCATATAAGCTGGACATTTTTCATGATTTTTTTTTAAAACATGGTTTAATCTCAGTTAAGACACTATTACTTACATTCAACATATTTAATTTTTCCAGTTCTGCAAAAGTTATTCTTTTCCTCCAATCTAAATCCAAAATAAAACGAACAACCTTGTTTTGTGTAACTTGAAGTTTGTGTTTAAGATTTTTGGAGATACCCTCGTACCAAGATGAGCAAGCATAGTCAAAATGACATTGGATAAGTGCCGAGCAGAGTGTTTTTCTTGATGACAAAGATAGACTGTTTCTGGTTCGGTATACACAATTTAGTCTCTGATTAATTTTCTGTATTGCATTGTTCACAATATGTTGTCCTGAAAGAAACTGGTCTAAGATTACACCCAAATATTTTAGATGTGGTTTGGACTCAATAGTATGTCCATTGCATTTAATATTAAAACAATTTGAAGTCCAATTTCTCAATTTTTCTTTAGGACCAAAAAGGACACTTTCTGTTTTCCCAAGATGAAGTGGAAGTTTATTATCTACAAGCCAATCGTGGCAGGATTCCAGTGTTTTTGATAATTTATCCGATATTATGTTTGGGTCTTTGTGTGAAAAACTTATAGCACTATCATCTGCATATAGTAGGAGTTTGCACTCAGAGTCAATACTTATCTGCATGTCATTAACATATGTTGAAAATAAAAGTGGGCCTAGAATACTACCATGGGGTACCCCACAGTTTACCTCTTCAGTGTTGGAATTTGTTTTGTTAACATGAACAAGTTGTTTTCTTTGCATGAGATAGGATTTAAACCATGCAATAGACTCAATGCCCATGCATTATTAGGGTAAGCTTTATGAGGTCAAGCTTTAGCTTAAAACATACAAGATACAAGATTTTTTTATTAGAGTCGAATATGTTGTAATAGAAACATTAGCTCTGTAGTGCTATCATTACGACAAACAAAGGTATAAAAACTGGATATATAAGACAACATGCAGAAAACAACGGGCATATAACAAGGTTTATACACACACAGACAAGAAAGAATTAAATCACAGCATGCAGTAATTAAAACAACTTGGCACGTACAGGACAAAGTATATATAAAAAGCTATATTAAAATTGATGCTGCACAAAAGATCCATGCCACATGCTCACAATCTAAGAATGGTTCAGTATATATATAAATGCCAATATGGCACGAGTTAAAAATTGACCGAATATACGCTAATATAGCATAAATTAAAACGATGATTTGACAAGCATTGAGTAAGTCATACAATGCGTAAATAAGAGCACTAAGCAAAAAATGAAAAGGAAGTAAAAGCATAGAAGCATGGTATCACAAGACATGGTAAAAACTAAGTATAGAAATGATAAAAAGGCTGGCACAAACAACAAGACTAGTTACATATGGCAGAGGAACACAACTGACCGTCCCAAGCGTGCAGCAGTCTGCGAAAGCTCTGGCAAATTTCTTCTTTCCGGGGCCGTATACGAGTTTTGTAGAGTGTTACACATATGGTTGGGCTCATATATATAAAACTTCTAAATACTATTCCTGTAATTTGGTTTGCTTTACTGGCTGCTTTTTGCACGTGTATGGAGAAACTGAGTTTTTCGTCGATGTGAACTCCCAGATCTTTTTCACTATTAACCTTGGTGATTTCGATGGTGTCTCCGTCAGCGTGTAATTGGATAACTTGGGTTTTTGGCCAATTTCTAGATGCTTGCATTTGTCCACATTCAGCTTCATCATCCAGTGATACACTGTTGTAGTCTATCTCGACTTTCTGGGGTTGAATTATTAGCTGATATTTTGGCGTCGTCAGCGAATAGTTTTGTAGAACACTCATATCAAGAACAAAACAGGCCCGAGTACACTCCCTTGTGGGACCCCGGTTAGTACTGACAGACTCATTGAGGGAGTTCCATCGATTATGACAATACCTTGTTGTGAAATTATATTCAACATTATTTTTAACAATCAAATCATTTAAAAATTCTGGAGCTAACCCATCTAAAATGTTAAAGACTTCTGTAACCATGGTATTCATTCTAACAATGTGTAAAAATGTTAGGTTGTTTCTGGATAAAATATCTATCACAGGTGAGGTATAATCATTTTCAATAAAACGCAGAGCTTTTTCCTGTATCTTTTCCACCTTTCGAGTGTTACTGAGGCTATAAAAATGCCAGGCTAGGGGGCACTAATTTAAATTAGATGAAATAAAAGATTTAAAAATGGTGATCTTTCCCTTTTTGGTAAGACTATTTCCAATTCTTTTCAAAATAGCTAATTGTTTGGAGGCCTTTCTACAGATCTTAGATACCTGGTCATCAAATTTCAATACAGAGTCAATCTCCACACCTAGCAGAGTAACATTATTTTTACAATCACTTACCTGGTCTCCAATAGAGAAGGATTTAATGGTGTCACAGGTTTTTTCCCCCTATACATATGGCCTGAAATTTACTAGGATTTGCTTTCATGCCATTTGCTGAAAACCAGTTTAGTAAAAAAATACTTTCTTTTTCTAGAGTATGTTTAAGGTTTGAAGAACAGTTGCTGATATATGAAACGGTATTGTCATCAGCATAATTGTACAATACACTGTCTTTTAGAAACGTAAAAATGTCATTAAGAAAAATGTTAAAAATCAGTGGACCGACAATAGACCCCTGGGGGACTCCTTTCCTCAGCAACTTCCAGTCGCTGACATCGGGGCCAAGTCTAATCCGCTGTGGTCTGCCACTGAGGTAGCTGCCGATGAAACTGACTGCAGTCTCATCTAGCCTATAGATTCGCAGCTTCTCCAGTAGCAGATTGTGTGGAATACAGTCACAGGCCTTGGACAGATCAATCAGAATTGCACCAATATATATACTGACGATCATCCAGATTGGGCAAAATTTAGAACTTGTCGCAATGACACTATACAAATTATTCGGCAATCCAAAGAAAATTACTTTAAGAAACTTCAAAATTGTCTTGCCGACAAAACAGTGCATCCAAGAAAATGGTGGCAGATAGCAAAATCTATAGGAAAAATGAATAACACTAGCACTAATTCTTATCCTCTAAAATCTAACAATAAAATATTAATCCATCCACAAGATAAAGCTGAGGCACTAAATAACTTCTTTACCACCATTGCCTCTGATATTACTGACACTAACCTACCTGATTTACCTCCCTTATGTCCATTTGAACTTTCTGACATTAACATTACTGAACAAGATATAACTGACCAATTTGACATTTTTAATAAAAACAAACCAGCTGGTCCTGATGGTATTTTACCTATGATTGTAAAGAACATTTCTGCTTCTTTAGTATACCCACTCAAACTATTATTTAATAGAACTTTATCTATTGGAGTAATACCTGATGTACTAAAAACGGCTAATGTTACTGCTCTCTATAAAGGTAAAGGAGATATCAGTGATCTCAATAATTATAGACCTATTGCTATTACATCTATTTTTATCAAAATGTTAGAAAAAAATATTTTTAAATATACGTTTAATTATATTTCAAGTCACAATATGTTAAGTGTACATCAGTCAGGATTTCAACCCAAAGACTCCACTACTAATCAACTAGCTGATATCTATAATACTATAAGTGGCAATTTAGACCAAGGTAAAGATTTGCGTTTTGTTTTCTGTGACATAAGTAAAGCATTTGATCGAGTATGGCATTTGGGCCTATTATATAAACTAAAAACATATGGTATTAAAGGTAAATTATATAATTGGTTTAAAGCTTACTTATCTGACAGAAAACAAAGGGTTATCTTTGAAGGTTATAAATCTAGTACCAAACCTATGTCTGCAGGGGTTCCTCAAGGATCTGTCCTTGGTCCCTTCCTCTTTCTTCTTTTTATTAATGATATTACTAATA